AATAAATAAATAAATAAATGAAAGAGCACTTCAGGTTTTGGTCAAAATCAATTCAAAACCGTATGCATTTCCCTCTCCTATGCAGTTAAGTATTCATCCTTCAATTATGGAAAATTCCAGTAGCAATATTATACAATTGCAACGATAAATAGCCTTTATTGATTATACAGGGTGCCTCGTGTACAGACGTCAATACTTCAGGAGGTTGTCATATATGTCAAATTGGACTAAAAAGTCCCTGTCGTTCGAGGTCTGATTCTCAATTTTATTCCAGATATTTCACTTTTCTGGTTAGTTCAACCTTTCACAACTTTATCCCATATCTCGTAAAATGTTAATCAAATTTTTTTTAACCGATTGATACCAAAAAATCTATTTTTTAGCAATTCAACGTTCATTTTACATTGTGGATAAATGACTTAGAAATTAGGTTCATGTTACTTAATATTAAGCTCGTTAGTAGGGGCAACTTTTCAGTAAGCGCCTTATTTGTCATTATTTACCGAACTAAGAGAATCTTAGTTAAAACTTAAGCAATAAATTTGGAAAATTTTACAAGTTTATCTCCTATTTGATTTTGTGTTTTGTTTGCTTAAGGTTACAATAAACTCGTAACGTTTTCAATGCTGTTTTCATTGGTGCAATAAAATTTACAATAGGATTAAGTTTCTATGAGATACGAGGGACTTTATGGAGTAAAAATGTGAAGGGTGAACTGACCTGAAAAGTGAAATATCTCGAATACAATTGAGAATCAGACTTTAGTTTATAGGAACTTTTTAGCCCCGTCTAGGGCCGCTAGATTCGAACCCAAAAACCTGAATCTTAGTTATGTATCCTGAATTATTGACGGCCCAGGTTACCCTGTATGTACATAACTAGCTTTTACCCGCGGCTTCGTCCATGCGGGACTCTATTTTAATGTACCTCTTTAATGCGATGCAGTATGGCTTTCTAATGCAATGTCTCATTTCTCAAATTTTTCTCTTCTTCAGTTCACTTCGGTCTGTACAAGGTAAAACTTTGTCCGTATGATCCCCTTAGGGATGGAATTTCAAAAAAATCCTTTCTAAGCAGGCGGTTTGGACTGTGTGTTGTTCTGTCAGTCAGTCACGGAGCTGTCTTACGAAGACCACTCAACTTCCTCGAGCATCTCCTAACTAAAATGTTTAAAACTTCTTCAACCGGACCTTTTCCCAGCAAAATAATAGAATTTTTATTTAATTGTTGAATTTCGAAAATGGCGAGAAGAAACTTGTCTGAGTGACCCAATTCAAAAAGGATAGGCGGATCAGAATAATCAGGTAACCGAATTTCCTATCAAGTCCCATGTCAGATGAGTTTCGCCTTCTCGCCATCTTCAGCGTCGAGTATGTAAATCTACTTCTAATAGAAACTGACCTGGAGAATTATTTTTTATTTTGCACATTAAACATATTACGTACTTAAACGTATGAGAAGACGAGCCTTCAGTTGTTTACGATCATCCTGCTCTGCTACCTGTCGACGTCAAAGCACATTTGATAGAAATAGCAAAAGTACCATTTTAATACATTAAAACCATAGTATAGTCAGCTAAATTGGCATTGAATCAAACCTGGTCTGATTTTTTGCTATGAGTGTCAGGTGTGGGGGCTTTCAGAGATTCGAAGCTGTGGAAAAGGTCTAGGGCTTTTTCATAAGAAAACTTTTTTCTCTACCGGGTGGCACACCAAATTACCTCATCTATTTAGAAACTGCCACTGATCTATTGTTTGTGTAGCAGAGTGATGAATAAATTCTGGGTGAGATCCGCTTGCTTAACTCTGTACAAGGGGTGAACTTCTGGGTTTTTGGGAGGGTTCAAGATTTAGGCCTTTGATTGGGTTTGTGAGGTAGGCTTGTAACTACAGATACGAATTGACAAGAATTTAATTTTTGATTTAAGTGCTGAAGTATATATATTCATTTTTTCTTTTCTCTTTGTTTAAATGCGTACAGAATTTTCATTGTTATTTACGCAGCGACCCACGGCAGACGGATTTTTCGATCCATTGTCTATTTACTGTTAATTTTTTTTTTCTCTCCATTGTATTTTGGTTTATATTGTAAATATAATGGCTTTTCATTTATTCATTCACCATAGTGTAGTATATTCGGAAATATTCTAACGTAGCGGAACAGGTTGAGTAGAGGTTGTGTCCATTACACGTTGGCCCAGTTTTATTAACATTCATAAATAAATAAACTCTTGTGAGAAAAATTACATTCCCCACTGATGATGCTGACAGACCGAACGCGTCTGATGTCTGACAGCAAAAACAGGGAGACTTGCCTAGGCTAGATGGTTGGTAACTACATAACTGCAGGTTCCTCTTCCTTCAAACCCGAAGAAGATATCTCTCAGTTTAAAATAAATCTCCTTAATTATAACGTAACCTAGGTCAACTAGGTTCTTTGCATGATTCTACTCTTTTCAGTACGCTTTTGTGTCTATTAATGTCCGATTATTTTTTAATTTATTTTTAACGAGGGGATTTCATCTATGATGATACATGAATTCTCGGGGTGAATTCAGGGCCGCTGGATTCGAACCCGGGACTTTTACCTTGCAGTGTTGAGTCGCCGAGTCAACGCCACCGTTGCGACCACCGACGCCTCCGCCCGATTACTTATTTAATTTAAGGGATTTTATTTTTGTGGAATAGTCGGTCACTTTTCAATTTAAGACAATGGTTAAGTCGAAAATGAAAATCGCATTTCATGAGATCTACGTATGTAGATAACCGGACAGTTTTATCTTCCATCGACAAAAGAGAGGAAACCGGAAATTTGTTTTTGCCTTTTTTCGCTCTGCTCTTGTTATCTTCTATCAGCTAAACACCTTCCACACCATCAGAAATTTCGCTATATAACACGATTCAAATTTTCTTGGTGTTTATAGAGACAGAATTGTGGAAAACAAAATTTCAGCGGCCTTTTCTTATTTGCTAATTATTTTTGTCAGAGGCCTTTATTCCAACTCAGTGTTCAAAGAATATTTTAATCAATTTTAAGCCTTATTTGTATACAAATACAGTTCGAATGTGTGTAGTTTACAAAGAATAACTTACTTTTAGGTAAATTAATTGACAGATCGCTGATCAAATATCTCAGGGCTATAAATATTTTTAAATGTACTTGTAACATTATTTTCATGATATGTGCTATATATTGGAACGAAATCTGGTATGTGAGTATAATTTATTAGCGTAAATCGAGGGAAATATCCCCCCCAATAACCCCGGGGAATATCGAGTACTCTGGGGTAGTGAGAATAAATGTGTGAATGTATTTATAAGTGTGAATAGTGGCTTGTCTCCAGTGACCCCGGGGAACATCGAGTACTCTGTGGAAGTGTGACTGAATTATGGTGTGTACATGTAAGTTATTAGGGTGAATGTTAGAGTTTATCCCAAATTACCCTGAGAGATATCGAGTACTTTGGAGCAGTGAGAATGAATGTTTGAATTTATCAGTGTGAATGAGGGGCTTATTTCCAATTAACCCGAGGAATATCGAGTGCTCTGGAGTAGCGTGAACAAAATCTGGTATACGAGTGTAATTTATTAGCGTAAATGAGAGGAATATCCGCCCAATAACCCTGAGGAATAGGTAGTATGAATGCTAACTAGATAATCATCATGTTATCTTGTTTCTGATTGTGTTTGTTATTTGTGTTATTTTATCCATAGTTGACGAGGTCCTGAGGAACAGAGAAATATCATGATACATCATAACTGGCTGAAGAAACAATAAAAGAAATGAGTACTTAAAAAAAGGTGGCACAATCCACTGGTGTGGATTTACTCGCATATAACAGTAGAAATTCTTCTCGTTTTCAAAATTTCTTTCTTTCTTGTGAGAAATCAATTTTTAAAGTAACGTATTAAATATGGAAAGAAAACAAAAATAAAATTCCTTTTGAGCTGTCTCAGAGGTCTAGGGGATGAAGGTTTACCCGCAGTAATGGGTTGGGATTATTTTGCTTTACTTCAGGTATTTCCAGTTTTTTAGGTGTTTGATGGTGCTGACATACTCCTAGAAGCACCGGTTAAAAACCTTAAAATTCTCTTTGGCGGTTTCTAACTTTTTAATATTTGATTCAGCAGCGAAGGATCATATTGCACCATTTTAAGGTCACACAGGTCGAATGGGCTTTCGCGCTTTTTTTTTTAAATTTTTTTATGAGGGTTCGCAACATAAGGGGACCTCAGGGTGCCGATGTTTTGAAAAAAATCCCATTTGTAAATATGTCGGGTTCGAATGCAGTGCCGCTGGATTCGAACCCGGAACCTTTATCTTACAGTGATGAGCGCCGTGTCAACGCCTAAACCGTTGCGGCCACCGACGCCCCTCGCTCTTTCTTTGCAATGTATGTTTAATAATAATTATTGCACACCACTTATTTTACAATGTCAGTCTATTCTCGCTTGCGTTTCATTCATAGCGTTCGGCTTCACGCCATCTTTAGTAAGAAATTGTCATTAAGAAATACTCCGTTCAGCATGAGAGTGCAACACCATGATAAATCATACGGATGTTAAACCAATGTTGATTTTGAAGGATACTTGGGCACGCCATTTTTTATTGATGTTTTGTTTAATGATGTTCTCTTTAAAAAAAATGGCTGAAGTTCCGCCTAGTTCACCAAGAAGCGTTCAATCTATAAACAAGCGAAAATTTTATTTAACAACAAAATAAACTCAAGGAAAAAAAACGAGACACTCGTATTTTGCTGTATATTTCAAACTATAACTATTTTTATCGTTATAGTGATTACAACAAACTTAGGTTAATGTAAACCAAATTAAACGAAATCAGATATACAATACATGAATTTTAATAAAAACGATTTAATTATGATGGTTCGAAAGAAAATTCGCCCAAAACACTTGAAAATTGTTTAATGATAGAGCAAAATTTAACTAACAAGCAACCTATTTTTGCTCTTAATAACGCGTATTATCTCATCTGGCCTTAACTCTCCTAGGCATCAAGTATATAAGCGATCGGATTTCGTCTTGTGAAACAATCCCATTCTTCAACATGAGCATTTTGAAGCTGTTCAGCGTTTGTAGGAAGCGGAGAAAGATGTCTAACCCGTCTTTTTATCACGTCCCATAAGTCTACAGCATTCATGACAGGAGAACATGCTGGACAATTCGTTGTGGTAATCCTTGCATCCTACAAGTATGGGGTGACAAGTCGTACTACATGCGGTCGAGTATTATCATGCATTAACAAGAAGTTGTATCCAATAAATGAAGCAAATGAGACAGCTTCTAGAAGAACTTCAATGTACCTTATACAATCATTGATCCGTTCTGTATTATAATCAGTTCGGTACGGGCTAGACGTTTGTCTCAACTCCATGCTATAACTGTCTTTAAAAATGCTGTAACTCATGAAGCAAAGCCTTCTTCACACATGGTCTTGGTCATCTACTTGCCACAAACCCAACCGGCACTCATCTGTGAAGAGTCTGCCATTGTTCTTTGTACCAAGCGAAATGCTGTTTGCGAATAGTCTTTCCTCTCGATGCCCCTCCAGTAGAAAAGATCCTGATGTCTAGAGATTAGGATATTCTCACGAACCCTTCTGATGACAGTTTCAGGGCTCACTCTTACATAACGGGCCGTTTGGAGTTGTCTACCTATCGAGGAAGCCGTTAAATGACGGTTCCGTAGTGCGCTAAGAGCAATAAAACGATCGTCTGTAGCCGTCGTACATCGCGATCGACTAATACCTTCTCTTCTTCCCTAAACCGCAGTAGACCATCGTGAATGGTAGAGCGCGTCATACCCAGAACATGGGATATGTAACGTCCATCGTTGGTCAAAGCATCTGTACGGGCAAGTTTTTGACTTAAAACTATGGTTTTAAGAAAAAATTAATGATTAATGTTTTACTCAAATTTATTGTTTCATCAAAGAAAACAATTGGCTTTGGAAAGGGTGAAATTGAACTGGTTTTCTTTATTTTTAATCTAAAGAGTTTAAAAGAATTAATATCACTGTATAAAGTTATTAATGTTGTTTTACGTTTTTAAGTCCGCTACTAATCTGTATACCTAGTTATTTAGAATATAAATAAATACAAGCATCCGGTTGTTTTTCTTTGAGTGTATATAACATGTTTGGCTGAAAAAAATTTTAAAATTTTTTTATTCAAAACTTTGTATCATCCGTTGTTGCAATAGTATTTTATTTTAAATGAACAAGGGAATTTCGTATTTGTACACGTACAGCATAAACGTACAGCTTTGGAATTACGATTCCAGGTTTAATTGACAAAATATTTCTCTTTGACGAAAATTCACGGGGAAACGTCTTCGAAATGTCCTTTCCACCGGAAAAATGATCCGGTTCCAATTTAGACGGAGTTTACACGCTTCGGTCGACAATGGACGTGAAATACCCGATTTCACGCCTAGAACCTAAATAGCGGACAATGTCAAGACCTCTACACCGATCTCTTAGTGGAGGATGCGTCTAATTGAAATCTTAATTCAAGGAATCGAAGGTTAGAGCATACAGGGACAAAAATCTATTTGACCAAATTTGTGTAAAAGGAATAGTAGATTAGCAAAAAATAAAATAACCGTCAGTTACGATCATGTTCCCTCACTGAAGTTGGCGTGAAGTTTAATACTCAAAAAGATACTAAAATGTGCACAGGTTTATATATTCTCGGACAGCAAAGTAACTCTGAAGACTGTAGGCACCTCCATCCAAATAAACTTAAGTACTAAAAAGAAATGGGAACGAGAGGAAAACACCTCCTTTAAAAATGGCACCATCTTTTGGTACACAGATGGACCTAAAACACAAGAAGTTACAGGGGTAGGAGTATTCGGTCCTGGAACCAAATATTCAGAACCCATGAGAAAATACACCAGTATCTTCCAAGCTGAGATCCACGCAATCGAGAGATGTACTCAACTTAAATAAAGGGTACAAAAACAAGACCATAGCTATCATGTCATGATGCCAAGCAGCGATCGAAGCACTAAGCTCAAATATCATTAATTCAAAGATGGTGTTGAACTGCAAAACCAAATTAAACATATTAGGTACGCAGAACAAATTCAGCCTCTGCTGGGTCCCAGGACACATGGGAGTAGAAGGCAATGAGAAAGCGGACACTATTGCAAGGAAAGGAGCCGAACCCTTCTGTGGCATAGGAACCCACACTATCAATGAGTACCTCAGACTAAAGGACACAAAAGAAAATGAAGAAACAATGGAATTCACTTTGGACACATGCAGTCCAAGAATCTCCTAACAACTTTCGGAAGAAAAGAAGTTACAGAATGTGCCAAAGGAAGCAGGAATAAACTGCGAATCCTAACAGGATACTGCAAGCTAAATGGACATTTAAAGAAGATTGTAATAATCCAAGACGGCACATGCAGATTCTGCAAGGGGCAGAGGAGACAACAACCCACCTACTAACAAACTGTGGTGCTACACTTGCCCGAAGGAGGAAGTGCTTTGGGATGTACAATGTGACCATAGAAGAGTATCAACCCTGGAAGCCAGGCCTACTAATCAAGTTCCTTGATGAAATAGGACTCACCGGTGTGCTTTAGGCAGAGAATGGGGGATACAATAGCTCTTAAAGGGCGCAGTATACCCCGTCTATTACATCTACATCTTAGGCTCCTCCACCTTCAACTCAAAGCTAGTCTGGGAATGCCTAACATATTTCAGATCCTTGGAAGACACAATCTGATATCTCTGATGAGGTGGCAGGACATGAAAAGATTGAAAGCAATGCAAGACCGACAAACTTGCAAAACTAATAACAGTCATCATACCTTTTGGACCAGAGCTGCAAACTGGCATACACCAAAGCATGCTAAAAGCAGAACTAAACTGAAGTGGAGGAAGAAATGATTACACATTGGATGAATTCACCAGGTGCAAAACAGTCAAGGAATCATGTCAACATCTTAACCAGAAAAAACAAAAATCTAACTCTTTCTCATCAGGCAAGAATTAAGGCCTATTCCTTAAGCCTTTAAACTGGTACGTGTCGACTCTGCCATGAAACATCAAAGACATCAGAACATGCCTTAAGTGAATGCAAAGCGTTTAGCTCAGAAATGGTACAGCTACTGCAGAAAGGTGGACACACCTAGGGAATTAAGTGTAGAAGAAATCCTGAAAGTGCTCAACTACCTTAAGGATAGTGCACTCTCTGGGATATGGACATAAAGGTCATTTTGACATGGAGCTTTCAGGTGGAAAAATAGAGACGATCACCATCAGTACAACCACAGAGGGGGGAGAACAGCAAGAATAGACAAACCCAGTAAGTGTCCATTACCTTTTTTTTATCCCCTTGCAGTTGAAGCAGCACCAATTTTCTCTGTTATATTTTCCAGTATCTTTACTCTGGTCTATTGCAACCCAGGGTTTTATGCCAGGTGTGCAAAGATTTTAATATTAATGTTGCATATACTGGCCAGAATTACCCATTTTTAATAGAACTGAACCATAAATTTCTACGAATAACAAAATTTATATAAATGTTTATTGTTACAACATTTTAAACTTCTCAAAAATGAAGTAAGTACTGTAATGAAATCCCTAGCATTTTTATTTTATTTTTTATAATAAATTGCATTAAAATTTATTAGAAATTATTGTTTTTCACTGAAGGAAATTTTAATTAACGGATTTTGAAAAATAACAAAATAAAAGGTTTTAATTCTAGAATTTTGTTTATTGGACATAATAATTTTTTTAAACCGTTAATATCATATATATTGATTAATTTAATTAAAATTAACAGTATAAGAATAAATTACGAATATCCCTTTTCATTTTTGAGAAGTTTGTTTTCACCTGAAAAAATAGGCAACTTTTTGTATATTGTAACAATTTGCCTTGAGGTATGCAAGGTGATGAACGTGTAGTTTTCTATAATTTTAGTTGTCAATCCTCATTGTTTTTGGCCTGTCAGATAGGTTTCGGGGTTACGGCTTTTTTCTATCTTCAGCAGGGTAATTGTTAATCTAGGACAATTAATAAACAAAATCCATCTGGCTAATTCTATTGAGTTTTGCTCCCATATAAATGAAATATATTTCATTTTTAACAGTTTGAATGCTGGCCCAGTTTTTGTCATTTGCTTTGAGGTTAATTTGGAAGAAGTTAATAAGGAAAAACCACCCTTCTTCTGGCCAGTTTGTCTGCTTGTTCCCCAAAAGTCCCTTGCCTCTAGTACTAATTTTTAGGTTTGTGTTTTACTACACCCTTCAAAAGTTACTTTATCTCCTGTTCTATAGTTACAGTATACGTGACATAGTTTGTGTATGCCTTTTTTGAGTTCACACCTCAAACATAACCTCTCTCCTTGTAATGTATGTATTGTTATGAGCTGTTCTCTAAAGAATCTGTACATTCCATGATCATTGATGCCAATATTGAATAATTTGTTATTCCAAGCAGGTAGTAGTTTCCTACCAATTATTTTTGACACTATGGTAAGAAAGGGCATTCGGGTCTTCCTATTAACTCCAATAGGTTACAGATGCCATTACCCCCCAAGGTTTGGGGTGTAGTGAGCAGTGTGAGCTTCTGTCCTTACAATGGCATCACTTTTCCCCTCAACTGCTGAATGTTCTGGAAACAAGTGGAGGGTGTCTGTTGTTCATCTATCAACATATTTAGTTACCTTCAAATTTATTTAATGTTAGAAATGGCTGTTTGTCTATCAAACATGATATGTAACTTGATATCTCATTCATCTTTCATGAATCGAGAGAATTCATCTTGCAACACGTGAACTTAGGTTAGAAATGATTAAAGCTTTATGTGGGTGTTAGTTCATCTCATGTAAATATTGAGATGGAAAAGAGCAACAATAAATGCGAATATTATCTATTTTTTTCCCCGTTTTTGAACCTTACCTTCCACACAAAAAGTAAAATGTCCTCCTATCTCTTGGCAATAAGGACCTAGTAACAGCGGAGGTCCGAAGTCGTCGAATGTAATGTACAATATGCTGCAAGTGCCTTTAATCAGTTCTCTAGGAATATAAGTGACGATAGTTTGTAGAAATCATGTTTTCTTTCATCATTGTAACAGCACCGCTTACATAATTAGTCAACACTTTTTTTTTAATTAAATTAAAAACCAGAACTCTTCGAAATCATAATTTTTATTCATTTAAGCAACTTCTTCATACAGAAATACAAATAGTTATAGGTAGGATATTTTCCTTCTTAAGCAATTAAGATCCATAGCACCATTTATGTGCTCAATATGAGATTTAATTTCAGTTGACCGACCACCAGTGAGAAGGATACTAGAAGTATCCCATTCTTACTCTAAATGTACAGGAATTTTGAATTGTAATTTTGGTAAAAAGGATCATTGAAAATGTTTTTGTTTTTTAAATTAATAACATAGAATATTTTATTATGTTTAAATTTCCTCAGAGCAATAAAACACTTTTTTTGCTGTAAATAAATAAACTGATACAACCTTGATTGTGTTTTTAATCTAGTGGTGTCATTTAATTTTTTTGTCAAATAAAATGATGAAAGTTGAATGAATAACATTACAATTTTTTTTTAAATAAATTAAAGTTATCTTTTGGCTTCATAATTTAACATGGATATTTCCAGTTTTAATATTAAAAAATGCTAGCTTAGCGTTTTAACATTAAAAATGCTAGCTTAGCGCTTCAAGAGTGGCTAATCTCTCTTTCAAATATTGCACAAGGGTGTCTCTTGGCACTTCAACTTCTTTTCTAGTCACAACATCTCTAACTTTGACAACGCCTTTTTTAAGTTCGTCTCCGCCAATTATGATGGCCAATGGAATACCCCCATCTTCACAATGTTGCAACTGGTCTAGCAGTTTTGGGCTCTTTTTGTATGATTGTTCAACCTATGAAAAAAATCAACAACTTGAATTGAGTCTACATTCAGTTATAGAAGAGAGAACGTACCTTAAAGTCATTGTCCCAAAGCAAAGTGCATATCTTTAACCTTTCATCTTGCAGATTTTTTTGAGCGCTTGCCACAAAAACTTGGACTTGGGTTGTCCTTGTCTTTGACCCTGCTGCTTTAGCTTCAACAACTGAAAATATCCTCTCAACCCCTAATGAAATACCGACGCAGGGTACTTGTTTGCCTTTTGGATCGAACATTCCTACGAGTCCGTCGTACCTTCCGCCACCTGCGACTGATCCAACTTCAGCCCCTAAAACAAATTTAAACTTGAAACAACGATTGTTTGATTATTATGAACTATATTACCGGTTAAAACAGCTTCGTATATCAAGCCGGTGTAATAGTCAAGACCCCGAGCGAGACTCATATCGACAGATACGTATTTACTTACGCCGGCCAATTCAGAATAGTGTAATAATAACTTCAACGCTTCAATTCCAGCCAGGCCACCCTTCGTTGCAGTTAATTTTGGATCGCTACTAAGTTTATCTAGTAATTCCCTTCCACCACACTGCCTGACGTAAGTGCCAATTTCGTCAGCTTCTTGTTCCGTTAATCCTCGTTCATCTATCATCTCTTTTCTAACATCTTCCCATGGACTCTAAATAATATAAACATTAATTTTAAAAAATTATATGCTACTATGTTTATAGTTCTTACTTTATCAAGTTTATCTACTGAAGAACAGACAGTCCTAAATTTATCTTTTGATACTCCTGCAGCTTCGAAAATTGAATCTAAAAGAGATCTGTGATTCACTTTCACAATGAAACTTCCTAATTCAAGTTCATTAAGAATTTCACATACGACTCGTAAACATTCAACTTCAGGAAGCATAGGATCGTAAGTACCAGCAATATCAAAATCCTAAGACCGAACAAACTATTATGGATTTATTAAACATAAAAAAATATATAAAAAGAAAGGGGAAAAATTTAAACTTACACACTGATAAAATTCTCGATACCTCCCTTTTGTCATAGCAGGATTGTCCCTTCGATAAACTTTTGCTATATGGTACCTTTTAATAGTGGTGATTTTATTCATAGCGAGGTACCTAGCAAATGGTACGGTGAGATCGTACCTAAGAGCCAAAACTTCCCCACCCTGGTCGGCCAAATCGTATATAAGTTTAGCATCTTCCCCATATTTTCCAGTTAGGACTTCCTTCAAGTTAAAAATTTTACTGATTATCAGTGAATTACTCATATTATGTATATAAAGTTGTATATTTTTACCTTAAGTTCAAAGACGGGAGTATCTATTACTTCTGCGCCGTGCTTTTGAAAAACTTTAACGATTTTGTCCAGCACTTGGTTCCTGAGAGCCATCGACACCGGCCCGTAATCTCGAGTCCCCTTGGGGGTCTTGAGAACAAACTTGCCGCCCTGCCCACACTCATCACCTCCTCCGTCTTCTTCGGTAAGTTTAGCCTTCAGAGCCAAGAGCTTAGCTACTTCATCGCCAATCTATGCAAAATTGCAAATAAAAGTTTTAATATAGTTTAAGAATAAAATAACGTAATGCTATAAACTCTAGCCAAAAATTACGAACGAGTTTGAATTTTTCATAGACTGCAGATCAAAAATAAAAATCAATGTCATCATCAATGCTGTGAAAAACTTAAATAAAAGATCCTTAAAAAATTATTAATAATAATTAATGAAAGACAATCCAACAGTTCAAGTACTTTATAGCAAAATTGTAGATTTATTACAAAAGCCTACCAACAATGAACTAAAATTTAGCAATTAAAATTTCAAATTTCTTAAGAAAACTTATAAAAGATAGGATCTGGATTTTCAATTATCGACAATGTATAAAAGAGTCTCAGAATCACTCAATGAATTAATTAATACAAAAATAAAAGAAACAAAATAATAAATAAAAAATAAAGTAATTTCTGTCATACAAGACTTAATGTCCAACTACCCGGTGGTTGTCATGGACGAGAGATCAAACCACTTTACAATACCTTCTTCATATAATTCACAATTCAAAAATCATGGGCTAGGTCGATATAATTCGAATCCAGAACCTAAAGAAGTTCAAAAGCAGAAAAAAATTAACATTATTGCAGATAAAGTAAATATTCTGAAAAATAAAGTCAAAACGTATTTATTCTTGTTTTAAAATGTTTAACATATAAGCTTCTGTAAATTGTTTGCTTGAAAACTACTTTACACCCTTAAAAAAATTGAATGTATTATCAATTAATATTAACCCCTTGCCTTACTATTATACTTATTAATAATTTTTTAAGGATCTTTTATTTAATTTTTTCACATCATTGATGCTGTCTTACTATCACAAGACAAACTTATTTTTAAAGAATGCAATTAACTCGAGCAAGGAAAAGCATACAAGTTTTGCAATATATAATATAATATACAATTATAATAATTAAACATAACAAATCGAGATATAAATCAGAAAATATGAGAATTTGTAATCATAACCATTACCCACAAAGTTTTAATTTTTGTAACAATTATGCTTAAAAATAGAATTAATATTTTAACAATCCATAAGTAAATAAAGACAACTGAAAAAATTGGAATAATTTACGTTTTCACCATTGCATAACTAGCCCTGACCAGAAAGAGAAAGCATCAGCTGAACCATGACAAGAAATTGCTACAGATAAAAGCTAATACAAGACATGAAAAAATTTCACCAAATGCCTTACATTCAAAAAATTCTTAATTATCCAAAAATAAATTAATTTAAGAATAGAAAAAAGTAAGAAAAAATAAGTTAAGAATTTAGTTTTTTATTTATATATTTATACTGGGAGAAATATGAATAGTGAATACACTGTATCTTCTCTGGTCTCAGGGCACACAGGACAGAGGAGGCTGATTACCAGCCAGGGAGGGCTCTTCAGAACCCTTCTATAAAATTTCAAACTAATATACAAAAAGGGGAATTGGATGGGACATCACTCAAACTAGCAAAATAATTAGTTGATAGAATCTTGCCTTAACTTACTAAAGCAAAAGCAAGTACAAAAATTAGGATCTTTGCAATTTCATTACAGCTGCGGCTATACAACGAAGTTAGATTGTGATTTATAATGAGCACAATAGTAAAATTTTATGGAACAGTGCATGAGGCCTTTTTAGCAACCTTAAACAATTTGTGTTAGTTCCATGTTTGTTGAAAAAGACTAAATTATCTGTTAATCTTTTCAGGTACCTGGTTCCATGATCCATTCTATCAGGTGATTATTAATGGAGAAATATGGTGGATTTTCCTAATGTAAACGATTTTATTTTGGTCTGCTTATCCCCACTGTTTTTGCCAGATGCATTTCAGGCTATTGCCATAAATAGTGTTTGGTTTATTTTCTTATTAGAGTAAGAACTAACTGAAGATAGTAAAAAAATTGCCGTATCTTCTCATCCAGGAATCTTTCAGTTCAGTCAAATAATAGTCAATAGCCTCTTGGCTATTGAATTGGAATCATTAAGGCTTTCCCTATTTGTAGTGATAACCATGAAATTGTTGAAATTGATGTCCAGGGGCTTGGGTTAACATAGGTTTTTTCTGGATGAAATTGTGCACTTACTTCATGCAATCAATCAGATGTGAACGCATGAAAACTGAAATTTTTCTGGATGGGCTGCAGGATAATGAACCTTAATTTGATCATTACTGACTATTTTGATATTCTTGTGTGGTGAATTAATTGTAACCAAGACAGACTGAAAACGACCAAAATACAGGATTCTATGAATGGGAGACTCTGCAACAATCAATGACAATAGGCACGCAATGTTCTGAAAATACTAAACTGTAAATCCCATAAAGAAATTTCACAATTCAACTCACAATAGTTCAGTTTGAGGATGATATACCCATACTTCAAAAAGAAGAATCAAGCTCCACTACAAACTCCAAAGAGATTCATAAATGATGGATGTAAATGGAAATATAAGATAAACCATCTGAACAAATATACCAACAAGCAAATCTATTTTGTATCTTGGCCTGCACCTTGATAAGAGCTAGATGTGAAATCATTGTCATTATCCTTCTACATAAAATTATTACTATATCTTTCCCTCATCACAATGATATGATACTCATGTAGGATTTGAATTTCAGAAACAGAGACTTCCATTCAGAAAATCCTATAATTCAGTCGTTATCCATCATTTTAGTCTGCCTAAACTCCTTGGTTATAATTTGGTTGAAATATCAGCAAGGATAGGCGGAACAAAATGATCAGTAATGACCAAATTAAGGTTGATCACCTGGTTTTTCATGAGTTTCTTCTGTATTTGTATCAAAGTGAGCATCCAACATGCCATGGGATGAATTAGTAACTAAGTACAAAGGTTTTTGTGTCCATGCTGAAGGGAACTTAAAATGGTTTCAACAAATGCATTTAAAACTATACCTCGTTATTTTTGTTTTCATAATCATTACAACAGCCTACAGTGTCTATTAGACCAGAACGAGGATAGACAATAAACTTGGGTATCCTCTTTTCCTAAAATTAGACTAGAAGAGATAACTTTGAGGATTGTAAATGGTGCTCAGAGTTGATCAAACATCTTTGAAATTTTGTGATAAATCTGTAGTTGTCGTTTACGATCAGTTCGGTCAGCCTATAAGATCTAAGCCGACTAGATCCTAGATTAGATGGCAAAGGGTATATTCATATTTGTAGTTTGGTCATGGTTTTTGTCGATCATTTTGGTCTGGCTTTCCAAAGCAAGGCAAACTCTGAAGTCTTGGTTCATCCATAACAGATAGTTCATGCGCTAAATTTTTAGAATGTCATCTCTGTATCTTAACGCAATGATACCCGTATATTAGGAACTCGCTTTATCATTCAGGAACAATATCAATAATGAAAATGTTAAAACCCTAAGTGGTAGTGACAGATATAACATTCTAGTAACATTTTCTCAATGTTAGAAGTATCGACTAATTTTTCAATCATGAACACTGCAGCATACTGAATGTCCTTGACAGTGTGAGGTATGAGTCAGTCTAGAAAGGAAATTAGAGATCGCCTGTAAAAAAACTTAAATATGTCAATCTGTAGACATTTTAAGATTGTTTTGCCCAAATGATGACGATCTTAAAATAATTCGAAAGCTTGGAAACTTACACCTAATTTGTAGTATTTTAGTTAAAAATTAATCTACCTAATTTAAACGTTATTGTAAAACGTACAATAGAGTTGAAAAAAAAATTATTATTGAAGCAGTCCACCAAGACACTTGCACTAAATTAAAAGTGGACAAAAATTAATCCGGATCCAGATCAAGCACGTTTTAACCTTTTTTTTTTTTCAACAGTGAATTAGAAAAATTGATTAAATAATTTTTGAAAAGCGTTTACCTGTTTTTGTGGACGTGTAGTTATTCGTCTTATATTATTTAAAAAATTTACGTTTTTCGTCCAAGAGTAATTTGAAATCCTATAGAACATGTCAAAACTTCACAATTATAACGACAAAGGCTAGTTTTTTATTATTCCATCGCCCGATTGTGTGTAAAATAAATAAATAAATAATTGCAGCCTCAGTTTAAAGGAAAATCGGGGGATTTTCTACTTTAAAAACTATACTGCATTGGAGACGGCGGCTTGTAAAGCCCAGATGGTGTAGCAGTACTGTATCCCTGGGGGAAGGTTACATTAGCAAATGGATTTAAATTCTCTTTACCTTGTCTTTATCAGCTTTTTCCGACTTGAGCTTTCGGACCAAGTCCCCTTGGAGCTTAATCTCCTCCTGGAGCTTTGTCTTAGGATCTGACATTTTTGCGCAACCGGCCTGATGTGGAATGTAAAAGCGAAACCTTCTATTAGGCCAAAGTGAGAGTCCAGTCAGGGTGTCTCACTGTGAACGGATTGGAACCGTTTTCGAAAAGAAAAACTTTTTTTGACTAAAATTCCACTTAAACTTGCAGTTTTCACCCAGGTTTAATAGCTCAAATAACAAGAATCATAATTTATACATAGTATTTATGTATTCAAAAATTTGCTTTTTTGTAGCCCCCCTTCATAACACATCCCATTAGGAGAGAATTTTTTTTTCATTATTTATTCTTGTTAAATCTTCATTACCGATACTCATCGACTATACAATTCAGAAAATTAGATAAAGTGGTCAGCTCGACGGTGACAGTACATAGTTCAAAAGTTACGCTTTTTTTTTAGTTATAGACTTACAGTAATAAAGCGGTCTACTACACGTTGTATATGCTTTAATAAATAATCTATTATTTATTTATGGTTAATACATTATATACTGTGAAAACTGAGGAAAGAGTTGAAATCTGCAGGATTGATGTGGGGTCACTGAACTATTCTCAACAATCGTGCTTTGGGAAATAGACTTGCCTACTGTACAATTTACAGAGGGTCAGCTCGTCGTGTTAAAAAAAAATTTCGATGACAGTACATCTAATGTAGAGTAGAATGCCGTAAATCTCATGGTTTTATCTCAATACTATTGTAAATGTCATAACATGTTGAAGGTTTTAGCTGGTTTGACATTAAAAAAAAAAATAATAATATAAGGGAGCTACAATTTAATGAAGTTGATCCGAAATTACGATTTCGCACATTTCATTATGTTTGTGCTGTTATTTTGTGAGTGGCAATTTTAGAACTAATCTAAAGTGAACTAATCTAAAAGGAAATTCTGTATTAAACCAAAAAATAGGGTCAAAAGTTGGGTAACACTACGTTAGAGAGGAAAATATTGAGGTTTTGTGTAAAGAAGCTTGTTTTTCTTAAATAAACTCTAAAAAAATTTCTGAACGGATTGTGAGATAAACCATGAGGTTTACCGCACTACTCCACTTTAGATGTACTGTCACCAACAAATTTTTTTAAAAAGACGCGCTGACCACCCTGGTACAAGGTATACAATGAGGCAAGTCTATTTCACAAGGCACAATTGTTGGGTCCGGTGACCTACATCAATCCTTCAGATTTCAACTCGTTCCTCAATTTTCACACTATATAATGTATTAACGACAAATAAATAATAGATTACTTATTGAAGCACATTAATTTAGATTACATACAAAGATTACATAGTATACAACGTGTAGCATTGCTTTATTTCTATGAGACATTAAGAGTCTTTAAGTCATTTGCCGATTTTAGCTCGGGGAAATGGGTATATGTTATTATAGAAATTAGTGGATGTCGATGATAGTTGTCTTCTCAGTTGCTTCTCAATTAAAGCATTGTAAGTTTTTTTATGACAGAAGTATCAAAAAGTTCATATCTGTAGTTGGGTCGTTACCTATCATTTTAGTATGCCTTTCCTTCGCTGTCGTTTTTGTTTGTCAGGCTCGTTTCGTCTCCTCACCATCTTCAGTGTTGGATCTGAACGTTTTCCGTACAGTAAAGTTTGGTTTATAAGTTTTACTTATATACGGTAATAGTAACTTGACTACACGGAAGCCACAAGACCCAGCGCTGAAGATAGTGAAATTCTTTCCTTGTCGTTACTGATTCACGTGAATGTAGATGGGATGTTTAAAGACCGCACTTGGCCCGAAGATAATATCGGTCTATTGAAGTTTATAGTGAAGGACTTCTACTTCTTCAAGCTTCCCACCCCGCACCTGTACATCTGCAAATGGCATACTAGGTGCTCCCGAGACGGGATCTTTGCCATTGGGAACCGGGCTCCCACCAACCTCAAGATGCAGTACGGTTTGGAAGTGCTGTCAGACCAAAAATATAGGTTGGGATGAGCGAGCGATGGCCCCAGCTATTTTTTCGTACTAGGAGTAACGTTCTTTAGTTTTTTTTTTTTTTTTTTAATTTACGAGCTGCCTCCTTCCCGCTTAACGCTAAGATATTTGAAACGCAGTTAGTAGTCGACCTGTATTCGGGTTTTCTTTTTTTTAGGGTGATGCTGGCTAGGCTATCAAATGATCATCCAAAATGCCATATGGGGCGAATTAGAAATTACGTGAAAAAGTTTTTTTTTTTGTTTCAGATAGAGGGGAAGCTCTTCCTAAAAGTGGTTTCAACAAATGCATTCAAAACTTTATCTCTTGTTATTTCTATTTCCATAATCACTATTTGTGAGACTCATCAGCGTCTAATAGACAAGAACGAGCTTAGTAGATAGACTTGGAAATCGTCTTTTCCGACAAGATAAGAAGTCTTGTCCCATCTGAGAATATGGTATTGCAGGCCCATACATGGGCACTTAGGGGCTAAAGAATCATCTCCTCTTTGTGAAACATCCCGGCATATTTTCAAGGGTTCTTGTACATGAACTTCAAACCGTCTAACATTACATAATTTGCGAGTACTCAAGGGTTGGTAGCATTTAACCGATTGCAACCTAAAGATCTTCACCCCCGACTAGTGATGTTGGAATCCTGTTATCGCCTGGAGCCGCTGACCGTCCCGCGACCGGGAGATAGCTAGTTTCCTCTTCCTTTTTCAGATTACTGAGTTCTGTCATCCTTCGCCAGCCGACTTTTATTTATTATGGCGAATTTAAACAGAACGGCTGTTCTTTTAGTGTTGGCATTTATCGCGGTACAGGCGTTCCTGAAGAAAGACGACAAAACAAAGTGCCCTCAGGTGAAAGGTGCGAGAAGATTCGATATAAGTTCGGTAAGTTCATAATTTAAAAGTCTAAACATAAGATAATACAAAAAGACAATGATTGGATCCTGATCAGGACTAAAAGTTCACGACTTGGTTCATTCAATCTTAGGCTTAATTTCAAATCAGTTTTTGCAATTTTTTCTCTATAAAAGATATAAATCGTTGTATTATTGAAAATTCTATTTACATCCAGATGTAATAAAAGTAACCGTTGTTAACATTGTTTTACGTACTATGGGTGGAAATAAAGTATTTATATTTTAGATTCTTTCCTTCGGTACTTTCCCTAAGCATAACTGTTGTGCTTGAAATAATCGCTGTACCTAATTTACAGATAATCAGTTTATGTATTATACAGGACATTGTATTTATAATACCGATAAATTTGTCTATAAATGAAGTGTAAAACATTAATTCATATTTAGGATTCAAGTAAAAGCTGTACAAATATTTTTGAAACATTATTTTTTAAAATAAAATTAATTAGTTGGTAAAATCAATTTAAGAAATATAAAGTGAATAAAAATGGTTTTGCATGGAATTGAAGTTGCAAAATATGAGACTGCTCTGAAGAGATGACTGTTGGCTTCATGTTGAAAGTAATATGAAAAAGACATAACAACTCAATCAAAGATGATTAACTAATATTCGCCTATGGTGTCAGTTTAGGAGTAATACACATTTTTGGCATTTTCCCTTTTTATGTCATTTATTTTTAACTGCAAATACATATTACTTTGCTTTGATAGTCATATTGTTGAATATTTTATAATCGGTGTTTTAATTGTACTGTTTGTCAACGACAGATTTTAGGTTCTTGGTACGTAGTGCAGTATTATGCCACTTCAGAGGAAGACGTGATATATAAATGCATGAGGGCTGTTTTCTCCATGCCGTCCGACAGGATAGAGCTGGAAATGAACTTCACGTACAGCTTTGCGGACGACCCTGGTGCCGAAGTACTCGACGGCAATATCACTTGGACTATACCGGATCCGTCGCAACCCGCCCATTGGATCCACGCCGAGGATACTTGTACAATAGCTTAATTTACTTGAATTATTCGAATGGACGAGCCGTTAGCAGTTTGATCATTGATGAGCATCTTTGTCCGTTTATCCTCGAATGTGTTAAACAACTACGAGAATCGATGGACAAAGAAGTCCAATAATGGTCGAATTGCTGACATTTCTTTCTGTCCAACTAATCGTTTTGCCGACAGATGAGGGCGTCTACAATACTTATGTTTTGGACTGCGACCAAAACGAATGGGGACTTTTACTCCACTGCGCCGAGAAGCCGAAAAGCCCTCGCTACCTCACGAGTCTGATGCTCAGCAGGAACACGACCCTACCTCCGAGCGTGACCAGCTTCCTAAGAGACAAACTTCCTAGGTGTCCTGCAATAAAACGCCTTGAATGTTAAATATTTATTTGAAATTTACATTTCTATAGATTGGATGTTCGGTGTGTTTCAGATACGATATCAGCTTGGCGTATATGTTCGACATGTCGCAAAACAACTGCGAAGATCCCATGAAAAATCTTCACTATGCGTCAAAGAAACCGAAGTCGAGAAAAGGCAAACATCCCCTGGGTCGGAAGGCGAGGTTCGCTAAATCCAGTGAAAAACTGTCGATGGATTCAAATTGACGAAGCCACTAACATGGATAAGCCTAATATGACCAAGCTCACTGTCGCGGTAAAATACATTCTGTCCACTGAGAGAGTTTCCATCGCCCCGAACTGCCCTATCTCTCTAACGGCAGGAGGCAGCTTTAGCAGATACGACATAGTTTTAAGATAAGCCACTTTTATGTATTCTTTGTTAGAACGTACAACTGTATCTATGTTGGAGAGGAAATAAAAAAAGATTCCTTTTGTCGAAGAGTCTTTCATTACTAACTCGTTTCCTATTTGGTAGAGTTTCTCCAAGTCAGACCTGTTCAACGTGCATAGTTGTTCCGGTGGGTTTTCCTTTTTTATTATTTGCACCAAGGTGTTCAAGATGTCTGGTTTGATGCCGGTAATGATCGAAATTTTCTCTAGGCTCATTTTACACTCGCCCCCGTTGACAATGTCCCTAGACGGTGTGCACGGCCTCGTCAAAGATCTGTAATCCCTCAAATTGAAATATTTTTGATCGAAATCGTAGTTGGCATCCGGGGCGTCGATCGGTTCAGATAGAATTTCCAGCCTCGGTATCGGCCTGTAGACGCCCGGCTTCATCTCTGTAGAATAATCCTCAAGACATTTGACGAGGTACAGATACGGATAGCTGATCGGTATGGAATACTCTTTCTTCAAAACTTCCACTAGGCGGAGATTGCTCGTCTGCATTTTCAATTTACGAGGTTTCTTTTTTGTTTTATGAATGGTGTTGAGATGATTTGATTTCTTCTTGTTTCTACCGGTTGATGTGTGGAGTACAGAGCATCTTTTAAATACTCTATTATCGTTGGCCGTTTTATTGGCTTTGGTTGTAATGGCACTTACGTTTTTTTGATTCTGTTTCATCCTCTCATCGAACATGTTATTAGAAATTATATTATTATCTTCTTCGCACGTCTTCTTCAAAGCGCAGCTGGTAAAATCGTTGTGAGACGCTGATTTTTGAAGACGTTTTGCATAATTTATTCTCAAAAGGTCTACTATGTTAGAAGCGCCCTTGTTTACAGTTTTGAGCTCTGAGGGTTTCAGCGTGTGCTCTTCGGCCACTCCGTCACTGCTAAGTTCTATGGTTTTTCTCTGTTCTTTCCCTGTCAAGGACTGCCTACTGGTCGTGTACAGATCATAGCATACAGTCATCGGTCTGTTTTCGAATTTTTCGTTCCAAAACGATAGTAACGACCTTACAGTCGAGGGGTGTTCCTCCTCTTCTTTTTTACAGGTTTGTGTTATTTCTTTGTCATTATTTATAACTGTAATTATCTGATCGTCACTTTCGTCCGTCTTGTTCGGTTCGGTTCTTGAAGTGAAACTTTTCACGTCTGAATATTCTGTTTCTTTTGTGCTGAGAGTATGATCAGATTCTGAACAACTTTGAGGCAATATAAAATTAGAATTCTGGTAAATCGTGCTGGATTGTACTATTTTTGTTTGAAACATACCTGTCCCTTTCAACTGTTTTGTTATCGGTTCGTGGACGAGGCTCAGAATCTCCGGGTCTATCTCGGGGATGTTTATAACGTTGCTCCCCTTCCTGAGGCTTCGGCACAGGGTCCTTTGCACCGACCTGAGGTAGCTTTTGGATGTTTTCAAATTTTTATCGACTTGGCTCATTGTGAGGAGGAGATTGACCTCTTCGAGCATCTTTTCAGTTTTTAACCTGCTCAGGTATATCTGCTCGCTGGAGTTCTTGCCTGGCTGTTTCTTATGGGCGAAGGTCAACTTCCTACGTCTCTTTTCAAGTTCTTCCCGGCTCGGCCTCGTCCTCCAAGTGTCCACTTTGGCAGTCACTTTGCTCGCGATGTTCATCGTCCCATCGGAGGAGTTTGTCGAATGAGTGGCGTAACGTTCTCCTGGCCATTTCGGACTTCCTGATTTGATTTGCGCCTTCCTAGTCCTAGTCCCTGTATAATCAAGCTTTGCCTGATTTTTCGCTAGTCCTGGTGGAGTTGGGCTAGCGTGAAATTTTTTGTCTGAAAAATGTTAAAACTCTCTTATTAACATACATTAATACAAGTGTAAGATATTAACCAATAGGCAGTTGAAATAATGGCTAATGGAGGAAAAAAGGTCCATTTTCTCTCTTTACTTTTGCTCTATTTTCTTTGATATATAGTTTTATTATAATTATAATTTTCAACGATGAACTCTACCAAAAAATTGTAAGAATTGCTTACATTACAGAAATCGGACCAGTAAATTTGGAATGATGATTGTTTTTTAAGTTATAGCCCCAGGAAGCGCACGATATCGGAGGTTAGAATGGACTGTGGGACAAGTGGTGATGTGGTGGATTTATTAATTTGTAATTTTATTTAGACTAGATAAGATTGGATTACAGGATGGCTGGGTAGTCAGGAATGAACATATATTATTGCAAAGGAGAAAAGTAATGTTAGCTCTGTATATTTTGAATAAGAATGACTCTAGGATGCTGCCCTGTGCGCAACCTGTTATATGATTCAATTAGAAAAGAAGAACGGCCGTCCCTGACAGAATAGTGAGCGTTCAATGTTCAGCTGTGCCAATTCCCTGCTTCCCTTTTTTCTCCTCCTAGGAGGAGACTCCAGCAGACCGTTCCCAACCCTTGGTTGCAAGGTGGTGTTTCCAGGCACAAAATAATGGTGTAGTCTTGATAGCGTGACAAACTATCTAAAGCCCAAGCTGCACGTGTTTCCTGGCGCACATGATCGCCTTAAGCATCCTCTGCATGCATTTGGGCATTTGGACGATAGGACCAAGGAAGCGTTCAGCGTGCGAGGACGCCATGATTACGCATTCCTAGACCCTCGAGATGAGTTAAGGGAGTTGTTGGCTTGCGAGCTGACCTCGGACGGCGGGTACTGCATCAGAGGCACGCGGAGGTTAGGGTACCTGATCCTGTCCTGATATATATATGAACGGGGTACGGTGCATAACCATCTGAACTGCGGGCAGCGTATATTCGTTTCAAGTTCAAGCCCGGCTGCATGGAAAAGGACTCGCAGTGGCCCGTAGTACTTGCGTATGACTTCCGAATTACCTCCCGACCTCGCGGGAATCGGAGCGATCGGACTGCCGAAGAGTACACAGACTACGCTGATGGAGTCCCTCGAATGCGTGAGGAATGGTGGATGGGGGCGGATGTTTTTCGGTGGTGGCTGTCTGAACTGCCTTTACCGAAGGTCTCCTCTGGGTGGGGGGGGGTTGTTGTTAGTGATTTCACTTAAATCGAAACCGCGGCCGGAGCGCACCTGGAGGTTTCGAAGCTAGCAGAGCCCCAAGGACCCAGGGAGATTGAGTTGTCTTCTCTATCTAGGAAAACTTGGTCAATGCATTTCGATCATCTTTTGGGTATCCCATTAAGCGCGGCACACGGTTGAGTACACGATATTAACCCACCCCCTCGGAAGGGGCAAATGGGAGAAGTCAGCATATCTGTCGATTAGTCTGTGGATTTGCGGGCTTCTATACCGAACATCGCGGAATAAGCAGATTTTCCGTGTGCGTAGGTGAATCGCTCCTAACTTGAGAAACTAAACGTGTGATAAGGCCTATGTGTCTGGTGCGCACGCTAAAGAATCTCAATGTTAAATAACATTGCGACCCCAGTGGGTCCCTGGCAGATATTATTAATGTACAACTGCATTAATATACACAGTAAGTAGATAAGTTACACAATTTAAAAAAAATAAATGGGTTAAACGTGACTGCGAGCCACCCATAAATCCACATTAGACAGCCTATTTGACTGCATTGCAACCCGATAGGTAAATTAATGTGTGCAGTTGGTTGCGAGGATAGCGACACCTCAAATTCACGGATGAGGGAGTTGGAATGAAGAGATAATTTGGGGTGGAATTTGAGATAGGATTTAAGTATAAAAAGATACGTGAAAGGAAAGAAATCCTTAAGCTTCATCTGAAAAACAGGATGATTGAGCCACATCGAGAAAGGCACCCCGGGTAATTCTGGTTTTGGTTAAGAAACGATAATATAGTGTTCACAACGCGTGTAGTGACGTTGAAAATTTCGGAAAATTAAACTGGTGGTGAGATAGAAAGTTGACATCAATCATGTTTGAAGGAGCTTTTCAAGGATTTCGACATATGAGAACACGAAACAAACCATTCACATATGATCTTGGATGCTGGGTATGTTTGTGGAGTTTTGGTACCGTTTTAATTACGCAATTATTTTTGATTGTATTTGGAAGTATGTTCTTAGTACAGTGTTGTGAAATAATTCCCCATCTATGCCAATTACAATATATTTATATACACACATGTACAGATGTTCCCATCTTTACTCATGGGTGTTGCAACCCATGAGGATCTTTAACGTCCGGACTTATCCCCGAGGGTATTTCTCAGACGCCCAGTGCTCTCAATGAGAACACCAGGAAGATTTCATATGCACGGATTTGTCACATCCCTTGACTAGTGAGGTGGTGCAATGCGAACCAAGTTCAGAAGTGCCCTAAAAAGTCCATACATGTGCCTTGAAAACGGCAGTTTTGTGGTTTCCGGCTTTCACCACCCCGGCACAATATCTCCGGCTCCTGTTGGCCGATCCCCTCAGCTAAGGTACAATTTATTTACGAACCACGTCGACCACGAGTCCACCCTCAATTAGTACAGCCACTTGTATACTCTACTCCCGTGGTTCAGTATTATTTTTAATGTGGGACTGATCGCCCACTCGGGAGTTCATACGAATCCCCTACTGATGCACCCGTTGCCTGAGGAGTGCGGTTAAGCTTCTGCTAAAGCAGAGGGGTTAAGGAAGAGAAAGGAAAATTAGGAAAGGAAGGGTATAAGAAGGTAAAGGGGGAAATTTGCTTCCATCATTGGTTACCCCCAGGCACCAGGGTTGATGGACGGGCTTTGGCTGGTCCCCCAAGGAAGGTGTCCTTGGGGGTAGTCACTGAGGGTAGACACACATGTACAGAGTTGAGCTTGTCACTTCTCGCAGTCCACCGGCAACTCCAGTTTTTGTAATTTATAATAAATTGCCTGCGGGCCTCGAGAAACCGCAGATCCCGGTCTTACCCGACCAGACGCACATTTGGGATTTTGGTGCTGTCAACAGCTAGCTATTCAGCACCATCGCATGCAGTTATCCAAACCCATTCACTCTCTCTCTCTCTCTCTCTCTCTCTCTCTCATTCTTAAATATATTATCTCCTATTTACATTTCATTCACTCAATTATGTTGATCCAGATATTCCTTCATCGCCCAATTGTTATTTATGAATTGTAATATGTTAAATTGACTGAAAATCATTCATGACGTACATATGATCATACGGTAACAGGTTGAAATAAACTATTTTTCGAGGGGAAAATAAAACGCACGTGCTCACATTCTTTTTTTTCGTTTTTCTTCCCAATTTTCTTTTCTCTGTTCTATTTTTTGGTTTTTCTCTTAATTATTTATCTTTCTATGAATCTTTATCATTCTTACTGATTTCTATATATTCTATGTATCATCAATACCTTGGTTTATTTATAAATGATGTGACTTGAAATGGGAGTTAGCAGTATTGTTAACTTGTAAATGCTTATTTGCATTGCAAATGTTAAAAGATGCAATGCCGGTTTATAGATTTATGCAGCTAGATTTGCATCAGCTGATGGGTTTACCTTTGCGCTGCAGCGGGTGAGGTGGCAGACGCGACATGGTGAAAATCCCAACTCGAATTTCTTACGAAATGTAAACCGTTTGCCAAGTTTTGTCATTCGGCCTGAAATTACATGACAAACTTTTAGACTTTGTTCGTTGAAGAGTGTCACATATTTTGACGTTACACCTCGCAAGAAAAACTATGGAGGAGTAGAAAGCGATATTGCAAAACACTCACCTCACGGTATTTTATTTTATTAGTAAACCTCTATCCGCCATATTTGCAAACTTGCTGGACTTCCGAACGCGTAGTGTTAATATGGCCTTTTGAACCGTAGATTGAAAAAACAAATAAACCACTATGTTCTACAGTTTGAAAATGCAATTATTTGAAAAATTTTCTGTTTACGATTAGAACTAATCATCTGTTAAAAAATAAAGATCCGTTAAGTTATTTTTTAAGCAGGGGAGGGTTTTAATATCTATATAATACAATAAGCACGCAAAGCAACATAGTCTCATAAATATTTCTACTTTTACACCTAACAAAGAGGCCTGTTTCGGAGAGAGTTTTAAGCAGTTGGGCCGACCGGCTGAATTGTTTATAAGCAATCAGCATTATCTGTCCTTTCTGTTGGGTGTGGTTAATAAACAAAACATACTCATAAACCCCTCATAAGCAGCTTTTTTTATATTAGGTCCAAATGTTAGTAGATACAATAGATTATTTTTTTCTTCGTTTGGCTTTGTCGATCCTTTTGATTTTTTTTAAGAAACACCAAAAAAGTAATTAAAAAATGTATTTCAAGATAAAACGGTATATCATAGAGCTCTATAGAAAATAGACAATTGTCGCCATTTGATTAATGTTTCCTGACAAAATACTCGTGTAAACGTCTGAGGATGTTCATTCCACCCTGAGCTGGGAACTAGAACATATTGCATTACTCATCTATTGACCTGTCAATATTGAATTGATTGACGCCCCTATATAAACATCTTTGATCACGGAAAAAATCTTTATTGCTTTGTAAAAGTGATTACGACCACTCGTCAACCTTCTATAGATATTCGTGTTCATGTTCATCAAGTAATGGGTGCTTTTTTTGTTGTCGTCTTATTAATAGCAAGTACGTTTTTAAATGGAATAAGCAGAGAGCCTTGAAACATTTTTAGCCATGGTTATTCTATGATCAAAAATATATCTGGATTACTATTGGCTATGGCGGACTCTAACCAAGAATTTGATATCATTGTCCTAAATTTTAATTTCAAAACAAACATTGCAATGTAATTTCCGATCATTTTTGTCCTCCTATGTTCGGAGTTTTCGTCTATCAAAGACGAGATCAGAGTTCTCGCCATCTTCACTGGTGACTATACATACCCTCAAAAGAATCTTTCATATTTTGCATATTCATATTAATCGAATGAACTTTGAGCATGGAAATTTTTTTAAATATACATTCCTTTTGTTACTATTAACCGTTCATTTTTTTATAAGACATTTGTTAATGCCGGGGTGAGCGAGTGTGATAAAGAGAGAATATGCGCGGTACTTTCAAAGGGATTTTCGAGCAAACATTAATGTTTACGTTTTGAGATAGAATTGTGTGCACCGGCTGATAGCCGGAAAATCCATCTGATAAAGCTCAACCCTTTTTTTTATATTAGTGGACCGCCAAGTATAAGAATCGCTTTTAAATAATTTTCGGATTTACTTGTGGGTACGCATTTCCTCGTCAAATTGGGGTCAGGGTTGATAAACATTTTTTGGCCTTGTTCTTTCCGTTGCGATAATTAGACTCTTTTCAACAAAAAATTAATTATCATAGTAATAGCAAAAAGGAGGGAAAATTCGAGAGGTGAAGTTGAGATGGGATCGAAGTCACGATAGATCAAATAGTAGAGCAACGGCGTATTTAGCCGAAGATCGTGGGTTCGAATCCCGCTCGTGACACTGACTTTTCTATCTCAACCAATACCTTTCATAAAGAATAATTAATTGAAAAAAGTTAATTGGTCACTCGGACCACGAACTGTAATGGATTTAATCATAGTAATATAAGTTAATAAACAAGTTGTACGTGAAATTGTACATCGTGATAACATGGAAAACAGAAAAACCATCTGCTTTAAATATAGCTCCCCTTTTCAATAGCCTGGCGTTTTTATACTGTTTGATTTCTCACGCCACTGGCTGAACAAGGCGAAACTTTCAAGAAGAAAAGACTTTGAGAAAATTTTCTTTCCAGAATGATTTGGACCAATTCCATGATTTGCCAGGTCATCTTAGTTTATGCTCTGTAGAGTGAGGAAGAGGTTCACCAGGGAACTAGGATAGCAAGCCAATGGTACTTGTTTAGAAATGGCAAAATGGGTACATTGCCCAATGAGAAAAACGAGGATGTTAGAAACATAATTGTCTTGCCTGAGATGATCGGAAGCATAACCGATAATTACAACGGCAACACCTGTGTGAAAGTTCAGGTCAATCATTAGTTGATAGGCCATTTTGGCGCATATCTGGGCCAATTCAGTATTTCAAACTTCGTCGAACTGGCATTGGCTCGACTCACAGTTCTAGGTTAATGCTTTTGGCTCTCTTGTAAAAACAATAATACAAAAAACAAATACTATGAAAAGACCAAACTTTTAAGTAGGTGTTTAAGATACCTACCCATAGATATTGTTTAGAGTCCTTACAAAAGACTTGCAGATAGCTCAGAGAAATTTCCAAATATGTTATCCTTTATACTTTTCTAAACAGTTTTGTTCATTTCCATCTCTTCCTGTGTTTCGTTCCATTAAAAATTATTTAAATTGTTATAAACGAATAAAGAAAAATAAATTATTCTTTATTTTAAAGGACTAGTTTCAACTTAACTTCAAGGATAAGATAAGGAAGAGTAAGTAGGTGAACAAAACAGTGACTCACTCTCCGATGTTTACACTTCCAGATCTGGCTCGATACTGGAAAATTTGACATGTGCGATTTATTCAAACCTTCCGAGTCCTTTTGTTTTTATCAATTTTTTTTCTTAGGTTCATATTTTTTTTTTTCAAATTTCTTTCCCGTATCCCTTTCAATGAATACAAGAAGTACTTTTAAGGTGTGCAAATGCTCGTCAAAATCGTTAAAATTATAATCATTTTATATTTATTTACCAATTTTCAATTAAAAATTTCAAACCTGAAGTCTGCGGAGTGATGAACCTGTAGTTTGGTCGATACCGATCATTGTATGATACTTATCCTCTCTGGGTTGGTCCGTCAGAGGCGTTTCGGCATTCCGCCATCTTCATTATTGGATTGTGGGTGATTTTATGGAATGAGATCAACGTTAGGTATTGAAAGTACTGCATGAAAAACAAACTAAAACCTCATCGAGAAACTACTCCGAGAAAAAGGGAAAGAAAAAGATATAAAAAAAAGAATATCCCCTTGGAGTGGAGGTCTCTGTGGATAAGATGCCAGTTCAGACTCTTCAAACAAAAGCCGAGCCTGGAGATATTCTTTTGAGGAAGAATTCTTCAACAGCTACTGCGTTCACTTTTAGGCTGCCAGAGTAGAAGAATTTTTTCCACCACAGGGATCTGTTAGTACAGAAGATCAACATGGAAAGAGTGTGAAGTCCCAAAAGTCCCTATAACTTCCGTGAAATAGTTGAACAGCAACCATTTTGATTTTGAATTTAGTTCTTCCTGTAAAATATAAAAATTTAAATAAGTGGTGTAGGTAGCTTAGTGTTTAGCGTGTCAGACTCTCGGCTTGTAGACCTAGCCGTCGTGGGTTCGATTCTCACCGACGCCCCTGGAATTTTCTGTACACTCTTCCCTAGCGCCTTTTTGGAAAGGGTACTGACTTGCGAATTTTTTCCACGCCAAAATAATTTAACATTGACTCAATCGATCACTTGTGTCGTAATTTTTTACGCTCTCTTCGACTGCATATTTTGTACAAATTTTTGTCTTACAACCAAAATATTTGGTTTTGTTTCTAACCGAATTTATTTCGATTTTATATGAAAACATCAGTCGTCTTTTTCATAAATATCTTAAGGTGTTATTACACTATACAATAGTAACTATGCTGTGTAATGTATTTAAAATTGGTCTGCGGGAACATTCACAAAAGAAAAACAGAGCAATAATGCACCTGAGAAAGAAACATTAAATTATCTACGTGCATTTACGGTTAGTCTCAATACAAAAATTAGGAAGGGGTGTAATGGTTGAAAGCCCATTACAAGTAAACATCTGCGTTAAACACCTGTCCTCGATACTTTCGTTGTCTTTTACGTTAAGGCCAACGCGAGTTTTTATGCCATCTCC